TTACCATGATGTGGCCTTTGTCTCTATGGAGTTGAGTAGGTCCATGCCTTGTGTGCGTAGGGAGTGGCTCCACTCTTGCCATACTCTCTGAGAGCTGTCTGTGGGGTGAGAAGTGCTCTATGTCTCTCATCTGGCTTGGAAACCATACAGGGTCCATGGGTATTGTTTAATTTGGATGACTATAGCTTAACTAGTTAGTTGAACAATTATAGGAATTTGGTGTTGAGCCAGTTCTAGCATGTTGGTTTCTGTCCATATTTCTGGAAATCTTTGTTGTCAATCTAATAGATAATCAACTGTATCTTTTGACTGAAGGCTGGACTTTCAGCTAGGAGGTATTCTTCTGACAGATGGTAAGACATAAAAATTTTCCTGGATATCTCCATGTCTGTGTCTCATCATCAGAGAAGGTAATGGTGGCTTTCAGTTTATGAAAATGGTTTTGTACCATTCAGTTCTCTGTTGTTAAACATATTCAGAGCTACCTCCAGCAACTGGGACCTACTTATACCTCCGAATTTTTCTAACTTTTATAACTCTTTTTCTAATATCTGGAGTCAACTGGTTGACAAAGGAAATCTTTTTAGCAGTTATCTTTAATTCATTAAAAAAAGACCTAGTGGAAATTGTTTAAAGTGTTCTTGGTCAGTGTTGAACAGAAGGGAAAAATCTATTCTGCCCAGACTGTGTTGTTTGGAAGCAATCCCTGTGCCCAACCCTGGGGTGTTTTTTGTTTGTTTGTTTGTTTGTTTTGTTTTGTTGTTTTGTTTTGTTGTTTTTTTAAATCTTTTTTCTCAGAGAATGGTGAGTTTTAAGGACCATTGCTTGAGAAGAAGATGTAAATTATGAAAGAGAGAGGAGAGGAACTTTCTCTTTTCCTTTGGGGGCTGCTTAGTGCAAGCAGGGAACAGAGGGTATGCTCACTGGAAGAATTATTTTTCCCTTGCTGTGGGTGCATTCATCATAGATGGCAGAGGCTGCAGGATGAGAGGCCCTGACTTTCCTCACCTCTACACAGGTACCAACTCTGACTATGAGCATCAGCCAAGCAAAGAAACAAGTAAACACTCTAGTTCTTGAGACCCCTCCTACCCCCAGGAGTCCTGGCAAAACCAAAAAGAGTCATCTCTTCAGCAGGAAGTGGCATAGGTCTTAAGATACAGGGTTCTCAAATGAGAAAAAGCCACTGTTCAGTACAAGGAAACAGAACAGACAGAAACACATGGAAAGACACAGACACACAGACACTGACACACACACACGCACACACACACACACCCAACACACACATACAGTAAAGACAACCAGAGGTATCTACCACACATTCATACACTTGAACAGACAAAGACTTATCTAACCTCTACTTACCTCTGATGGTGACAGATTTTCTAATTCATTTCCTTTTGGGGTAGAGTTGTCTAACACTTCTGAAGTCTTAGGCATCTACTGATTAGAGGAAGCCCTGGGGAAGTGGAACATCTACAGTTGTACATCCTCTAGGAGTCCTCTGACTACCACACTTCCTCAAGGCTCTGAGATTCCTGGTGTCTCAAGGTTTGGTCACTGGGGATATTGCTGTGGCCTCAAGAAACATGATGTATTCACCAGAGAACATGGTTCCCACATGGGTTTAAGCCAGTAGATCTTTATGAGCAGGCTGCTGACTATACTGTGTGTTTGGGATCCCAGTGTAGCCCTGAGTCTTTCTCAGGGCAAGCTCTTAAGTACAAAATCCACATTCTGGGTTGAGATACTTCAGTTATCAAGAACAGTTAGCTAGAAGTGGAACTACTGAAACTGAAGAGTAAGATTAGTATATTAGAGATATTCCCAGACTTTGATGGACTAGGTCTTTGTTTTCATTTGGCAGGTGGTACCACCTACATCTTGAGTTTTATGCCATGAATAATAATTCCATCATGGAGACAGTTGTGCAAAAGGTCTCCAGGACTACTAAGGTATGGGGTACTGTTACAAGCACATTGATTATAAAATCACAGATTTTTTTCCAAATCTCTGTTATCTGGGTTCACAGTGCTATATCTGAAGAGAAACTGTTCAGTAGGTTTTCCCCTTCATGCATTTGAACCATGTTAGATCTTGTAAGAAACAGTCACAGAGTAAGGCTAGTAATGTGGTGATCCCTAAAGTCACTCCAGGAAATGAGCTTAGGCTTCCTGGTTCTAGAATCCAAACATCTATTCATGTTACTGTCCATGAAGAAGACATCATAGGTGAATGATGGTTGCCTGCAGTGTAATGATAGTTGAGGACCAAACCTAGTCACAGGGCAGGGCATTCTGGGACTGGGAAGGCCTTTCAGCTCTTAGCAAGGAAACTGGGCAATTGTATCCTCATATCTCAGGATGAAAAAGCCATGATTGGCTGGTGGGCTGGATTGGAAACAAACTTCCTAGAGAAGGAAGCATCTGGGTTTGGGGTAAGAAAGTAATGAATACTACCTACGTGTAGGAACAGAGTAACGAATGGATCAAATCAGAGTCATAAGAAGCCATTAGATCAGACAGACTAGGCAGGAGAATGGACATTAGGATGGTGAGGATCATGATGATGATGACAATGATATAGATCTCTCATGTTGTCAGACTGTAAGTGCCTTTTCCATATTAATTCAAACAGCCCTTGTATGGGTTCTTAGATGAGGCTTCTCTTATTTACCTTTTATCATTAACAAAGTGAAGCACACTGAGATTTAGTAACCAGAGCTAGGTCATTTGGTAAGTAAATGGCAAAATGGGAATTTTAAGAGCCTTGAATTTTTCTTTTTAATTTTGCATCTAATTAAAATTACCCTGTATATGTATGTAAAGGCCAGAGAACAACCTGAGTGTCATCCTTTCTTGCTTTTGTAGAAAAAGTTTCTCTCTAGGATTTGTTTGTACTTGTGCCCCAGATTATGTTAGTCTGATTGGACCACAGGGATCTGCCTGTATAGTCTCTCTCATCTTAATATTGGGATAACAAGCATGAATCACCATATCTCACTCTAAAAATATGTATTAAGTGTCTTGTTTTCATGTATATTCATGTCTTACATGTGTACCTGGTGCCCATGCTGGAATTACAGATGGTTGTGAGCCACTGTGTGAGTGCTAGGAACCAAACCTCTACAAGAACAGCTGGTGTTCTAAAAAGCTGAGACACTGCTCCAGCCTCTATATCTGGCTTGTAAATGTGGGTTCCTGGAATCAAACTCAGGTGTTTGTACTTGCAGAGCCAAGCCGTTTACCAACAAACTGAATTATCTCCCAGCCCCACAACACTTGCTCTTTTGTTGTATATTTTTGTGAATTTTGAGGAATAAGGCATGGCAATCAAGACACAAGACAATGTCAATTCATCTCCGAACATTCCCCCGTTTCTAATCAGCTCCCAGCCTTGGCTTCCAGGTACAGCAAGCACTGATGCATTTTTGTTCTATAATTTTCCATTTCCCAGAATGTCATATAAAGGGATGATACTATATGCAGGCTTCTGGCTTCAGTTCAAATAACTTAACCTGCATCGTGCACCTGAGATCCATGGACTGAGTTACAGCTCAAGGCTATCAGTGCAGTACTTGGATTAGTGTTAGGATCTCTGACTCCACAGCCCCTTCCGACCACTTAGATCTGCAAACCCTTTTGAGAAAACTACATGTATCCAGGTAATGTCTGACGTAATACATCTTCTGAGTCAATACAGCTCTCATTTAATTCAAGCACTCCAATTGGCAACTCTGGTAGAAAGCCTGGTGTGGTGGTTTGAAAGGGAATGGTCCTCATAGGCCCATAAGGGAATGGCACTAGTTGGAGATGTGGCCTTTTTGGAGGAAGTGTATCTCTGGAGATGGGCTTTGAGGTGTCAGATGTTCAAATCAGGCCCAGTGTGGCATTGTCTCTTCCCACTGCATGTGGATTCGAATGAGAAACTCTTAGATACCTCTCCAGCTCTATGTTTGCCTGCATGTCACCATGCTTCCTGTCATGATTATAATGGACAAAACCTTTGAACTGTAAGCCAGACCCAATTAAATGTATCTCTTTGTAAGAGTTGCCACGGTCTTGGTGTCTCTCCAGAGCAACAAAACCCTAATTAAGACAGCTGGGAGTTATTAATTTTTGACAAAAATTTACAGTCAGAAAAACCATGCTATAGACTTTAACTGAATTCATTAATCAATGTGGTGTTTCATTAGGACACTTTGAACAGGGGATTCATTACTGCCTGTGTATATGTGTATAGATGATTATTGTGAATTTTCTCAAGGGGTTGAGAAAGAAAATAATTTGGATTTATGGTATGCCTCTTGGCATGTGATCTGTCTCCTGAAAAAAAAAAAAAAAAGAGTAAGTTTCTGGGCAAAAACCAGGCAGGCTACTCACAGAACTTTTCTCTCTCTGTTCCTGAGACCCAGTTTCCTATCCTCACTCCTAGCATTGCAACAAAGCACCCACTGCAGTCTGCCCTCATTTCTCCTCATATCCCCTGTGGATCCCACAGACAATCCCCTCCTAATCTCCCTCCCCTCACTCAGTATCCCAGCCCCCACTCCAGCAGACATGCTGGTCTAACCCAAGGGCAGCTCTTCCCAGGGCAGCAAGTAGGCTGAAAGGAGACCCACACCTCTCCTACTGCTTCTGGGGTCCAACTACTTCTCCAGTCTCATCTTCTCTGTAGCTGGAAATCCACTATCATCCCCAACTCTTCTCTGAACCCAGCTCAATGGAGCATGAATACCTTCTCCACAGACACTGAAGCAGAAAGCTCAGGGCCTACACAGCTCTGCACCAGGTTCTCTATGTACATATTATAGCTATTAGCTTATTATTTTTATGAGACTCCCGACTGTGACAATAAGTGGGTCCCTGGCCCTTGTGCCTGCTCTTGGGACTCTTTTTCTCCTATTGAGTTTCTGTGTCCAACTTCAGTGTGACAATTTTTCTTCATCTTATTATATTTTAGTTTGCACGTTTGGTTATTACCTCTTAGAAGCTTGCTCCTCCAGCAATGGGCAAAAAGACACCTTGTCAGTGGTATTCTTATATCAGTCAGGGGCAAAACAGATGGCAGTCCATTGTTCATTCTAATTTGATGCTTGGTTTGGTAGCCAAAGCTGTCTTATACCAAGGACTCATAAAAATCCAAACAAAACAAATCAAATCCAGGCAGCACCGTGTGGGAGCAGGAGGAGAGACAGAGACGCATGAACTGCCATTCCACCCACAGACCTTCATTCCAGTGCACTGCACAAGTAGGCAGTAGATAACTGATTGCTGCCATTGAGGGCCATGTCTGAGTCCATGGTTATGCAGCAGTAGGGGTCAGTGTCAATGTCTGTGATTCATATTAACACTAGACGACATGGGCATGCCCCTGGTCAGGGTAGCAACTGGGGTCCATGGGGATGTCCAGGGGCTGTGCATATCTGGCTCTGTCTCTTACTGGATACAGCACACTGGAGAGCTGGCCCCATCTCTGACCAGAGGCAGCACTTGAAATAGTGGGCCCTGCCTCTCTCCCAGGGAGCACAATGGAGCTAGCCATGTTGGGGGGCTAAGGGGCTGGTGTCACTGTGCCAGTCCTGAGGTTATGAGTGTAGGAGAGCTGACTTTGTCATTCATCTGCTGTAGGGTGGCACAGGAGCAGAAGTGATGCCCTCTCTCCAGTTTCTTGCCACTTCTGATAGTCAAGAAAGCTGTCCACAGGGTCATAAGCTCAGGAGAACTATCTGTGCCCCTCAACAGATGCAGCACTCAGGAAATTGGGTCCTGCACTTCACCTGGACAGCACAGTAGAGCTGACCCTACTGGTGGGGTGGCACATAAGCTAGCCCGGAGGGTGAGAGCACAGGAGAGCTAGCCCTGGTACTCCTCTGCTGAGGTGGCCTGGGTAGAGGCAGGTGCCCTCTGTCCCCTCACCCTTCACCACGTGAGAGCTGGCCATGGAGTCATGAGAGTAGATGAGCTAACTCTGTTTCTCACTGGCTGCAGCACTGGGGAGAGCAGGCCATACACCTCTCCTGGGCAGCAGGGTTTTGCTGGCCATGGCTGACAGGACACAGGTGAGCCAGCCCAAGAGCATAGGAGACTAGCCCTGACACTCTGGTGTGAAGTGGCATGCCTGCAGGGGTGACACTCTCTCCCTGCCCTTGCCACCCGCACTAGCTCAGAGAGGTAGCCCTGAGGTCATGAAAGGAGGAGACCTAGCCCTGCCCCCTCATTGGTTATAGCATTCAGAAGAGTGAACCCTGTATTTTCCCTGGGTAACACAGTAAAGCTGGCTCGCCCTGATGGCAAAGTCACAGGTACACCAGCAGCGAGAGAATGGAAAGTCTCTCACAGTCTAAAGCAGTTTGGAGAGTAGGTCCCTGTAGCTTAACTGGGCAGCACAGTGGAGCTGGCTCAGGTGAGGTTGAGCTCCCCGTACCCTGACGGAGGGTATGAGAGTAGGAGAGAGGGCCCTGCTTCCTGCTGATGGTAATATTGAGTGGCCTAGCAGGAGCAGTGCTGGAAAACACCAGGGTGGTGTGGCTAAAGGAGATCCCATGGACTGACCAACTCAGCTACCACCGAGGCCCAGGTCCAGGGCTCTGAGTTGGTCCACCCCAAAATCTGTCACCTGATAATAGTTGGGATGCATGAAAAGGTCAGCCCTGCTGCTTCAATGCTGCAGGATCTCGACGACACAGGGCAATGACAGGATAAGCAGGACGAGTCCCAGTGAAGATCCAATCCTGATGCTGTCACAGAAACTAGAGACCTTGAACCAGACCAACGACTCATTGCAACGAACATTTGCAAGTGAAGATGTGTGGACAGAGGGCTATCTTGTGGTATATACTATGACATACTTCAGATTTCACAATGAAGTGTCTTCTATGTTTTGTTGTTGTTTGTTTAGTGGGGAGGCTACAAAGGTAAAGTGCAGGTATGAGGGGACAAGAGATGGGCAGGACCGAAGTGCATGGTGTAAAACTCACAAAGATCAGTACAAAGTTTAAAACACAATCAAAGAAGTCTATTGTTTTCTACTGAGAGTCAGAAAGGGTGTAGATTGGAGGGGAGGCAAGGTAGGGCAGGAACTTGGAGGAATGGAGGGAGAGGAACCTCCCTCTATATAATAATCAGGATACATTGTATGAGAAAATAATCTGTTTCTAATAAAAGAAAAAAAGTGGAGGAGGAAGTAGAATTTCATAAGTCATGCTAGCACCACATTTTAGATGCACAAAAACTCCCCCTAAACTTAATTTTCTTTCTTGCCTCTCCTCTAACCCTCCTTTCTTGGTCTTTCTCCTTCTCTTCTCTTCTCTTCTCTTCTCTTCTCTTCTCTTCTCTTCTCTTCTCTTCTCTTCTCTTCTCTTCTCTTCTCTTCTCTTCTCTTCTC